TGAACACTGTTTGATCGTTAACGACTCCCTTGCTTTCATGTCGTTCGTCGAGCTTGAGGTACCATTCTGTAGAGCGAGGTTCAGCTTAGTTTACAGTATGGACCGAATTCACACTCTTTATTAGTATAGTTTTACGTTGAGGATTCCTAGTAGAATCAGGAAATTGAAAGCGATTCTGCCTCATAAGGAAAACCAAGCAAGCCAGAAAACTTGATTCCTTTCGCTACCCAAAGGGGGCCGACTGGAGTATACTTATTTGCTTTGGTAGCGGAGGGCGCACAAAGCGATGATATCACAGAAACGAAATTTTCCTAAGAAAATGTCAAATAAATGGTTGTAATGTATAATTTTTTCTGAGATTTTCCTTACATAAATCACGATTTCCTAAATCTTGGATCTCATATTCTTTGAGTTTGTATTTACTTGGAAGGTTTCGCGCAGATTATTAATCAACGGCCTTGGATCTCTCTCAAAGCAAAAGAAGAAACTCCTAATATTGCGTTTTTCAAAAATTGTATTCCACAAGTTTTACAAGTACCGCGGCAATGATTTATGTTTTAAGCCTCTACTTTTTCATTTCAGCTGCTATTGTGAGTTTTGTCTACAAAAGTTTGCAAGTTTTTTTTTTCGGCTAAGTTTCTATGATTTATCTTCGCTGAATGATTTCAAAGCAGTGTATACACCAAAATTTTCAATGAGGCTTTCTATTTGATCATACAAAGAGGCTCTCCATTTAATCATACATCCAAGGCCTGATTAACGTCTATAAGCTAACAACGATACCAAGTCGGTGGTAAGGAGCACATCATACAAAGAGGCTCTCTATTTAATCATATATCCAAGGCCTGATCAACGTCTATAAGCTAACAACGATACCCAAGTCGTTGATAAGGAGCACATCAGGAGGACGAAGCGAAAGCAAATGCGTCCACAAAAACTTGCATTAGTTATCGAGATGCATGATAGAATTGCAAAACAACTAATGCTGATTCAAGGTGACGATCTCATCAAAATAAAAGACGCTAAAAGCCTTGCTTTAACAACGTATATGCGAATTTCCATAAATATATCATAAGCATACTGCAAGGGAAGCTTTTTGAGTCGAAGTGGTCTTTTTAAATGATTTCTACATTACCCTGAACAGCATTGAACGCTAATTTTAAATCTGCTCCTATTCCACGGAACAACACTCTAGAAAGAGCTGTGAGCGTTTGAAAGTCCAGTCTTGGCAAGCTTTAAGTGGCATAAACTTAGTATCAACCTTGAAGAAGAACAAGTGGCCAGCCATTTTTGTACTTTATTGACTACGAGGAACACAGATTCTATGCCACTTAGAGCTCTTTAAAACTCTTATGACTTCTTCCAGAGAGTTGCCCCGCGGAAAAGAAGTCAGACTCAAAATCAGCGTTCAATGCTTTTCAAGGTGATAAAGGCACATTCGGAAAAATTAGTTCGATCAAGGAGGCTTCCCTTGTGAGCCTTTGGTTGAAAAACTTGATGAAAACATGACTTATAATAGGGCTAGAGCTTGTTTACGTATTTTTATGTATGTCTGTCTGTCTGTCCGTTATGGAAATCCTAGAGCGAGTTTCAGCCGACCTCTTGAGCCCAAATTTTGCAATCGTCCTCACGGCGATTACTAAGCCATAAGAAGTCCAAAAACCGAATCAAATCTGCATTTGTTCTCCTGCGAAGTTTTATCCATGCGGAGTTGATCGTACACGAAAAAGCTTTTGGAGTGAGTAGTTGTTTATAATTCATTCGAGACAGTCAGCGACGCATTCAGTGCAAGCTTACAATTTTATTGCAAAGACAATCGTGCGTACAAAATGCGAAAATGCACACTCTGGCCTTTTTAGCTCACTTTTGGATATAAATTATAAAAAGTAACCTAGCATGTTTTGGTCCACTACCGAACAAAAAATGGATCTGTTCAAAATTTGCACTTTGTATGCACGATTTCTTTGCAATATAAATGGTTCACAATCTCGTCTGGAAAAGATGTTTAGGCAGATAAAGAAAAAGAATTTAATCTCAGCGTTCTACAGGGGCTTTTAATCTGAGTGTCACGATCGACGCCGCTAGGGTGATCGCAGCCGCCTCGCTTTTGCCGCTCGACGCGCCCGCGAACGTGTCGAGGGACATTTTCCCAAGCACGTAAGCCATTGATGCTTAATAAACGGTTCCACATAAAGCATGGGAAAGTACCGAATTCGCTTCAGGCGAACGCGGCGCGAGAGGCGAGGCGGCGTCGACCGTGACCCTCAGATTGAAAGCGCCTGCACGTTGCATTTACTTAGGTAATCGCCGGGGCAGGCGGCCTCCGGCGATTTTTGGGCAAGCGAGCACCGGAAAAATAGTTCACTAGTTTTTTGCTGTCCGCTTGCAGAAATTTGGAAGATTTTCTAAAAGCAATCGCGGTTTTCCTATAGATTATTTGCGGCGCAGTGGCCACATTCTCGCGAACTTTTCGCGAGAAAGTGCAGAATTGTTGAGGGCCGCATTGTCTTTTGTGGAGGACCGCACAGCCCACAGGTACCTTCCGCTGAGAGAAAGTACCCCAAACTCGGGTAACTGGACCATCGATGACACCTCTGTTACGTAGAGTGTTACCTTTGCTCGGCGTATTCCCGAAACTGCGTAAGAAGAATACGAGCGCCTGCTGAAAGTTTGGCCCACGCGCGCTGAAAGAGATTATCTGACGAGCGCTTGCAGAAAATTCTGTATTGCTGCCCGCTAGCAGAACACGGAAGTACCGCTTGCTGAAGTTTTGGCCACGCCCCAAAATTTTGCTGAACGGTTGCAGAAGAGCGTGAGTTTGCGGACCGCCTGCCCCCCGCAATTATCTGAGCCTCTTTGGGTTGGCACTTCAACTTCTGACCATTTTCTTGTAAGTTTCAAAGATAAGAAAACATACAACATAATTGCTGATTTCCGAACTCTTGCGGGATAGGTACAGGCAACTCCCTTGCGTATAGCGGGCGTGGCCCAGACATTTTAACATGTTTGAAAACTTGTTGAACCTTCATTGTGAAGCATTAGTGTTTGTACTCTCTCCGTATCAAAAACTGCCACGCGGATACGTTGGCAAACCTCAGCAAAGCTCCGCCCGCTATACTGTGGGGTTTAGACGATTATTCGCTTGTAAAATCTGTCAATGTCTGTGTTTTTGATAAGCATCAGACAACTTTCATTTTTTCAAAGGTTTAGTAATTTTTTCACACCTACCTAGTAGATGATTATTCCCAAGAATGTGCGTTTTGCGATTGCAGTTCTAGTAGAATAAAGCATATAAACGCTCAAAATTTCCTACAGTTCAACTTCTTATATTCGCTCACACCTACACGTATTTATATTCGTACACAGCTTACGCTCAGTACTTGATACTCTCATACCATCAAAGCAGAACTCACATCCCTTATAACAATATGTTGCATCAGATACATAAACGGGCAAGGGCTAGAAGGGGAAATTTTAGTTCGGCACCCTTTTTACCAAAAAGCTCGCGCTGCTGATTGAAAAAAAGCCCCACTGCGCTGCGCAAGTAACGATATGGCTTTGTATTTGGTGCATGCTAAAAATTCATAGCTAATTTTAGGCCATTGCCTTTTGCACTCATTTACTGCTATAATGTCCTGCAATGCTGTTAGTACAACTAAAACTTAGTTTTGCAAAAGTAAAAGACTGTAAACAACATCAACCAACAATTTGCAGAGGACCCAGTTAGTTGCGACTCTCAATGAAATCACCGGGCGCTTCCTCACGCAAACCCTTTCATCAGTGCTTTACACAAACGTTATGCACATATGATCAACAATCAAAGCTATTAGGGTGCAAAAGTTCGTTCGCCAGTTTTTCAAAAAATCATAATTTCCTTTCTACTCGATGGATTTCTTCGAGTTTGCGTTCATTTGAAAGAGGAACTATTTTCTTTACAATAGTTCCTTTGATATGAATTGGCATGAGGAAGTTTGAGAGTTAAAAACAAAATTCAAGATTGGCATTTTTTAAAAGCGGGGTCACAAAAAATTCTGAAAATTTTTTTTATGATAGAGAAAACTGTGCTTACTACCATAGTAGCTTTCTATGAATTTAAACGATAAAGATCGAGAGTTAGAAGCAAATAAAAGAGTTACTTCAGTTTTGCAATTTTTGAGCGTGACCAGAAAAGCCCAAAAACGTCACAGAAAAATGGAAAAGTCATGAGCATGGGTTTTATGACCTCTTCCTTTTAGCTAAGCGAAAATCGTCCCAATCGAGAACAATTTTGACTTTTATAAAAAAAGCAGACGCAAAAATCCGAAAAATTCACGAAAATCAAATTTGCTCTCGATTAGCTCGAAAAGCTCAGTTACAAAGAGATGTCACAAAACCCACGTTTATAACTTTTTCGTCTTATCTATGACGTTTTTGGGTTTTTTGGGCATAAAAAATTAATGAAGTAATTTTCTTTACTTGCTTCTAACTTTTGATCTTATTCGATTTAATTCAGGGAAAGGCACTATAGTAAAGAGCATATTTTTCTATCAATCAAAAATACTTCCAGAATTTTTCGTGACCCTGCTCGAAAAATGAAAATCTTGATTATTTTCCTTTACTTGCTTCTAGCCCTAAAACTTTATATAAAAAGTACTACTGTAAGAAGAATGGTTCCCTCTTTCAGATGAATATAAATTCAAAAAAAATTCAGCAAGCAGAAAGAAAGTTATGATTTTTTGAAAAACTAGCGAACGAACTTTTGCACCCACCTAATGTGTTTCTTTTTTAGATACCCGACATTCTGGAATGAGAGATGATATTGAGTTCAAGCATCATGTGCTGACGTTTGAAATTTTCTCTAGTGAATGAGTGTCAGTAGACTACAATAATCAGCGGTTCCTATCTAAGTTCAGTTCTTTCCCATTTTGGCTATGAGGGTTGTTGTTCAACGAAGTTCCAAAGTTTTGGAAAGTCACTTGCTTGCTAATGTCAAAGCTAGCTTTAGCACTGCCTTTATTTGCGTCTAAAATTTTGCTTTATTACATCATATTATTACACAAGAACATGCACATGGAATCAGTCGGAGGATCTTTATACAAAGTGCACATTTTCGTAAATTTTTATTCAGTATCATTCAAGCTTGGTTCTTCCGATTTCCTAAAAACTGTCAAATGCGTGGTCCGTCGGTTTACCATGGCTGTGTGATTGCGATGTCGTGCGAAAAAGATTTTGCATATTTTATGGGAATTTCATAAACAACTTTTGCATCACGCAAACCCAGGCACTGATCCCATCATCTCTGTTGCGAAAACGTTAGTGGCTGCAGAAACTTTGTTTAAAGTGGTATGCTATCCAAAACAAAACGGGTAGAGGACATCAGGTTGCCGAAAGAGGAGGTCCCGCGCAGAAAGCTGCAACAAACCACGCTTCTTCGCCCTTATCGCCTCATGCTAGCTGTCTGCATGGGTGGAGACTAACGGCGACCTATTGTCCTCCATCGAAACAAAACGCACGCGATAGTGGTTGTAGGTTTGGCTAAGTACAAGTTCATATCTTTTCATTCTTTTATCCCCTTCAATGAAAGTCGTTGCCGAAATGGCATTTCGCACAAGTTTGCAACGTACTCTCTTTTCTAAACCTGGACATGCGCATCGAATATGGTGTAGTACGCTAGCGTACAATTTCAGCGCACGAGCTTGAAATTTTAGCACAGAAATTGCTACAGGCCGCGTGATATACTCCGGATCCGGGCATAAACGACAAAATTGAGCGACAGCGACCGTTCTGGTACTTCTTATGTCACTTTGTGACCTCGAACCGCACTATATATACAGGGTGTCCCAAAAAAATGTGAACACTGTTTGATTGTTAATAACTTCCTTGCTTTTATGTCTTTCGCCGAGCATAAGGCACCATTCTTTAGAGCGAGGTTCAACTTAGATCTGCAGTATGGCGCGAATCGTCGATCGTTCATCATTACTGTAGGATTACGGTAGGAACTTCGACAAGTATTTTAGGTTATTGGATGCAATATTCTGCCTCGGAACAAAAGCAAACAAGCCAAAAACTCTTATACTATGGTAATGGCAGCCGCTGATTTCGAATATGACGTTTCCACTTTACTGCGATGCTTCTTTCCATGGTTATCCCAAGTAAACCGTAATAACCGACTTTCCAGCATTTGTCAGAAATGTGATTACACAGTCAAAAAAGCTAAAACACTTGTAAAAAGTTGTGCAGCAGAATCAGCGTGCCCGAAAACCCTAGTATACGATTTTACAGATTTTTTGGAAAAAATTTTGTCAAATGGCATATTTCACAGTGGATCCACATGCTGAAAGTTCATACCGTAATCCTACAGTAACGAAGAGCGATCGATGTTTTGCTCCACGCTATAAATCTAAGTTGAACCTTGCTCTACAGAATGGTGCCTTAAGCTCGGCGAAAGACATGAAAGCAACGGAGCTATCAACGATCAAACAGTGTTCACATTTTTTTGGGACACCCTGTATATGTACAATACCGCTCACATTTTTTGAAAAATAGACGCGAATGTATGGACATGGTGGACGCTAGGCGTCGCTAGGCTCGACAAGCATCAACATTACACGATGCAGCCCGATGTTTATGCTAAGGATGCGATGGCGCTTGTAGGTAGAGAGATAGCTGGGAAATTTTTCGAGATATCCGTCGCCGAGGCATGAGATGTTTTCTTTTCCAAGCTCATCGCAAAAATGTTGCCTTTCAGAAACATTTTACTGCGCATTCGCTTACATAGTTGTCTTATCAGCGACACAGGGGATATATATTAGGTTGGCACATAAGTAATGCAACTTTTTATATAACTTTTGTCTATTTGAACATAGCGCATTCATTTTTCGGAAATATAAGGAATATGATGTAAGCTTCTAATGCACACATTTTTGCCGAATTTTACCATCTTATGTGAGGATTACGGTAGATTTACGGTACTATGGGAAAATTTTTAGAATGCATCAGATTTTGCTGAAACTTGGCCTATAGGGCTTATTTGACATGCTGATCACAAAAATGAGATCCGTTTCGCATGAAAAGGCCTCGTTCGTGAGATCAAAAAATGAATTTCATTTTAGCGACAAATGAATGTGATATTCGTGTTTGCCGCATAGGATTACGCTATAGTGCAAAGTTATAGCGAATTTTGACTTTTCGCAGCTTAGTTATTGACAAATTGCCTTCAAAACTTGACGCATTTGACTTGTTCAACTTTTCAAAGGCGCCCCACCTTAATTTGTGTTTAAATTTCAATTCTTTTTCACTGATTCCAATGTGCCAACTTCCAGCTACATGCAGCCTATAATTGCTTTTTCATATGTTTGAATCAGGTTTCATAGGGCTTCATGTTTGCCAAAAAATCGTGAAACTTCGATTTTCAGCAGTTTTCAAAAAATGCTTAGATTTTTTGTACTACGTTATCAAAAATCAAACGGTTTGCGCAGACTTGCAGCTTACATCACGATCTACAAGATGCCACAAAATGAGATTGCTGCATAAAATAGGAAAAAAATTACGGGAAAAGTTGCAAAACTTATGTGCCAACCTAATACATATACGCGTCTTTAGTAGAGTGAAAGCATTTTCAACTCCGTTTGGTTTTGAGTTCAGGCTCTTTGCTCATCATCGATCATGGCCCCTCTGGTAACTCGTTCCAGGGCCCACTCTGCTGACTTAGGGTGCCTTCATACCGCGCCGGCAGCCGCCGCTGGCAGCCCGTAGCAGCCCGTAGCAGCCGCCAGCAGCCGCTAGCAGCCCGTAGCAGCCGCCAGCAGCCCGTAGCAGCCGCCAGCAGCCCGTAGCCGCCGCTGGCAGCTTTCGTTATAAAGCAAAATCATCAGAATCTTTTTGTTGCTGCTAGTACGCAGTTTGACCACATAACATATATGTGCCCATTGTTGTCATTACCTTCTCGCCGTATGGTCATCCCGTTGAACCATAGTTGATAGAAGGTTCTTTCCGGTGCAATTCGCTCTGACTTTGGATGCGTCCGGTTCCAGCAGGTGTGCAGTTTGTTTTTTGAGTATGCTTTTGCTTCAATCTTTGCTTGGCTATCGGTGCATATGTAACTTGCATTCTACTATTTCGCAAGTTCGCCGGGATTCATTTGCGGGTTGATTTTTTCCTGCTTTGATAATCGCTCACATCTTTTTAAATAAGGACAGATTGCAAAAGAATGTGAGCGCGATAGGATACAATGTGCAGAACAGAACAATGAACACAAATGTATTGTGGGGAGTTGGGCTGCATATTAGCGATAATAGGAAGAAATAAGCGTAGAAGATGAAAAGCGTAGGCAGGAGCACTGGAAGTAGTAAGATTTCAACGATTTTGCTCGTATAACAAAGGCGGCCAGCGGCGGCTATGGGCTGCCACGGCCTGCTGGCGGCTGCTACGGGCTGCTGCCGGCTGCTGCGGGCTGCTGGCGGCTGCTACGGGCTGCTGGCGGCTGCTACGGGCTGCTGGCGGCTGCTGGCGGCTGCTACGGGCTGCTAGAGGCGGCTGCCGGCGCGGTATGAAGGCACCCTTAGGGGTCGCAGTCACCCAAACCCAGACAACAGCTGATACAAACCTCGTAGAGGATACAGACTTTTGAGGCCGTAGACTCCCGCATGCGAACTATTCCGCAGGTCGCCATGTTTAACTTCGATGGACATCACATCTACCTACCGGCATATACGGGTTGTGGGGATACCTTGCATTTCGGCACTTGGCTCCGACGTTTTGAGGACATTATGCGTACCCGCCCGGGAAGACTCACATCCGAACAGAAAGCTGACATTTTAATAACGTACCTTGATGTATAGCGCTCGAAAAAGTGGAAGAATTACCGCTTACTGATCGCGGCGATTACGACAAGCTCGTAGCTCATTTGTCGCAATCTTTTGAAACGCCTCAACAGCGCTATATGGCACGCCAAAATCTCTCTGCTTGTTGTCAGGAGGTAAGTGAGACGGTGGTAGATTTGGCGAACAGAATATTAACGCTAGTACGCGAGGCAACGGCGGGTTAGGGGCAGGCAATTCAACAAGAACGAACCTTAGAAGAATTCGTTGAACGCCTTCGACAAGATATCCGCTATCACGTACAGTTGAAAGGGCCAGTTACTTTCCAGCGGGCGTTAGATAAGGCGCATACGGTAGAACGACTACTTTCGGAAGCATCCTCTGCACGATTAGCAAACCCATACATCAGAACTCCCGGAGCCGGTATACAAGCCATGTCAGCAACAGTAAAGTCACTTTTGCTAACTACTAATCCTTGTTTTCCGACACGATCGGGATGGAAGCAAAATCGTCCTCGTTCTCCAATACTGTCCCGCAGTGGACAATGGCAAGACTCCACCAACAGACAGAACCCTCTGGTTTGCTACAACTGTAAAGGAATAGGACACATGGTCAAGCAATGTCCGTCGGCAAAACGCAGGAATAGGTCCGCGGTTCTTTCCTAAACGTGCGTCTCCTGTTCGTTCTTACATTTCATCCTCGGTATCTCCTGTTCCTTTTACTTCACGCAAGATTAGTAATGAAGAGGATGGGCGTTTTTTGAATAAAACGCAGCAAAAAGTTAACGCCCTTACTCTCTCTCTAGAAGAAAGTCAGAAAGCTCTTCGACAATCTAATGCTAGAATTATAACTTTATTGCAACGTAATCAAGAATTATCTCGTTCCGCTTTCTCCTGTTCTCCACGGTCTTCTCTCAGCATTAATTTTTTCGCTTGTTGTCTCGCCCTCTGCTCGCTCACATTAGGCTCTCAGGCACAAGGGCTTGGCTCTGTCCTTTGCAACCTAATGATCGCTTGGTAAATGTGCCAACCTCTTTTAATTGTTCCCGACTCATACCAACCTATTGCAATTACTCACAGGCATTGAGCATGCATCTTTACCGTCCAAATACTAAGAAATACGATACTTCAGCACATATGTGTAAAATCGTAGTACATACCACATCCTTCTCTGTAAATTTTTTCGGGGCTCGTTGCCAAACACAGACGGAAACTACTAAAACTGTAACGGCAGAACACTGTAAACTCATGATTCAACATCATTCCTGTGAATATGGGTCCTTGCATCTCTAACGGTATCTATGCCACAACTAACAAACTCGCGATTGACTGGCCATCC